CATTTGTTAAATGCTCAATAAATATTAGCTATTGTTAAGGAAATTACTTAGCAAGAATAATTTCAGGCTAATAATTTCTAATCACTTAGTTCACTGGAAGGAGAAAGAAGGAAATTGCCAACTTTAGCTTTGTTTGCTGGCTTTCTGCCTTTGGCTGCGTCTGTTTTGAGGGTAGCTCTGATGTCTATCTAGGGTTCCTTTGGTGTTTTTAATTAATTTGGGAGAGTTAAAGAGATGTAAAGGTGTTTGATTTTAGGTGTACTCAGTGAGGTATGTAGTAATAGTTTGGAGTAATAGACCTTTTACACGTGTATCCCAGAGGTGCTCATTCTGAGTATCTCAGTAGCCTTTGTAGAAGTAGTGGAAGTGGCAGTGGAATTGTTCAGAATTTGCAGAAGGTCAGAAAATCAAGAACTTGGATTATTCCCAGATTGGAGAATCAGCCCCATCTCCATAAAGAGGAGATTGTCAGAAATTGTCAGACACCCTGTAGAACCATTCTCAGTTGACGCTAGTGTAAAAATCATGAAACACTAGAATGCCAGGGGGAGGGGATCAAGGGCGTAGAGATGGTTCATGGTGACATTTCAGTCTCTCATGTGCAAGGAGAGGACTCAACAAGAATCCAGTAGTACTAAGGAATGTAACTATCTCACTACCTGTAGCAGTGTCCACACAGTTCCCTTTTTCCAAGCAGACTTCTGTGGTGATTTACAGATGGGGATCCTGCTGCCAGTGCTCTGAGAAATGTTTTAGTATGAAATACTGTCAGGTAGCACAGTGATTTTGCTTCAATTCTCAAATCATTCTTGCTTTTCTTTCCAGACATTGAAGAGTGGAGGCATTCAGGAGCAGTGGCTCACAGACTTACATTACTGCTTCAATGTGCACATCACTGGGCACCCCCAGGGCCCCAGTGCACTGAGCGCAGTGTATTGAAGAGGATATGATACCTCCTGTTTGAAACTGTTTATTCACATCTATCTTATTTTGAAGATTGAAGAAAGATTGATGTAACAAGTGTTTGTCATTAAAGCTGAACTTTTACCAAGTTTACAAACTTTCCTTTGCACAGAAATAAGAACATAATGCTTGGGCATTCCCACTCATGTGCAGGCTGGCTTCCTGAACTCACAACAGATGATATGTGGTTACAGGTGGTAGCACATTTTCATAGGAGCTAGGTATTAGAAAATACATAGTGATACTGTGGTGCCTTCTGTTATTTATTGAGAAATCAGCTGAATCTTTGTAATCCCCTCTAAACAAGCCTCATTCTTTGTGTTTTAATAATGATGAAAATATTAAAATTAGCAGCCTAAAAATCAGTAAAAGACTTACCTTATGTAAGTCTCTGTGAATGGCTTTCTTACTGAGCACTGACAGCGGCACCAGGTTATGTAAGTCTCTTACTACCAGCACAGTACTAAGAAAATGGAAACAACCCTAAAAATATTTGGGAGCCATATGACTTCTTTGTGCCTTGTGTTTATGAAGTCTGACAAGTAAGTTCGTGCTGTGTGTGTACACTGGCAGCACTGTTCAAACAACTCAGTGAGGTCTAAAACCTTGATAAATCTGTGTCTCAACAGCTGTGTTGATGTCACTGTGTGGCAGTGTCTTTCTGAGTGGTGGTCTATTGTTGAGTGTTTTTATATGTTACGGGAATGTCAGAGTTTAAATTAGAACAAGAACTAAGGTTAAGTTTGTTATTAAACACTTGAGTAGAAGTGAAAGGAGGGTTTATGGGGGTAATGCCATGGTGATGCACTGTACAAATGGATGAAATATTTTCTGAGAGGAGAGTGTCACCGATGAAGAGAGGTCAGGGCAGCAAGAACAAAACTGACACAAAAACATCACAAAGTTTGTCAAATTGTGCAGCAGAATTGTTGGCTGACTGAGAAGCCAGGTAAACAGAGTAATAGGAAAATCTTGGCATGAGAAAGGTGTGCTATTGCATCATGACAGAGCATCAGCTCACGCAGCACGGTCTTAGGGAATTTTAGTCATTAAATACATAACTATTGGAACAACCTCCCTAATTACCTGTTCTGGCCCCTAGTGACTTTCTTCTTTACCTGAAAATAATGGAAATATAGAAGACAATTTGATGACATTCAAGACATCCAGGGTAATCTGTGTACAACAGCTCTGATGGCCATTATGGAGTTACAGAATAGCTTGAAGGGTGGACCAGGCACTGGGATTGGGGCAGAGCTTCCCTAGAACAGTGACTGTAGTGATCCTCAGCTGCCAGGTATGTAGTGTCCCTAAGACGAGTTCATGAAGTTAATTGTCAGACTTTCTATACTCCCACAGCAGCCTCATCATTAATAGTAAATGTGTAAGAGTCCAGTATCACAGGATTTTACAATCTTTCCTGCTAATAGGAAGAGCATTTTGTAAAGACCATTAACTTCTGAAAGTTGGTGGAGAATACAAGGGTGATGAGGCCTGAGTTGGCACATTGCTCCATAAACACTGCCTGACTGATGCCTTGATACTGTGGTGCCGTTGTCTGCATGCAACAGTGAGAAAGCCATTCAGAGAGGACATGTGGCCTTCAGAGGCCAATATGGGAACAACAACATGTACAGAACAAAAAAACGTACCTGTGGTCTTATGGACAATTTCTAGATGCAAACGCGGTCATGATTCTGATCCAAAATTTAATACTAATAATGCTGAAGGCACAGTGAGCATGCCTGTTGGATTAGATACCAGGGAAGTAGTGAGATAAGGCTGCTGTGGGACAGGATCCCATCTCATTTAGGTTCATCCCTTTAGCCGAGAAACCAGGCCTGTACCAGCTAGCTGGCAGAAACCCCAATCTAGCAACCCTTTTAGTGCTTATGTTCTTAGTTTTCCTTAGACTTTACTGCTAATTACTCATTCTCATTTATAGCTGTACGAACTGAGGTGAAGGCAGCCAGCCAGGCGGTTTGCAGAGGCCTGGTCTCTGGTCCTTTCAGTGCAGGCTGTGATGGCTTACAAACAGTACCGTGCAAGAGCAGAAAGAAAATACTGTGACATTTTCTTTGTGTTTCCCCGTAAGTCTTCCCAAGATGTAAAAGGTAATAAACAAGAGAATCAGAACTCTGCACTACCGATTCCAGCTTCCTCGAACACAGTCTTCCTCCACAGGCAGTCGAAGCTTTGTTTTGTTTTTTGATTGAGTAGCTGATTGCAGATTATAAGAAAAGTTCTTTGATCTTCTACTGTTCTCAAGGAGATGTATGCACTGCAAATTGCTCACTATTAAAAACAAATAGATATTCAGGTTATTTTAATGATGAAGGGAAGAATTCATTGGTTGTGAGGAAAAATTGGATTTGGGTTCGAGCTATCCTTGGGGTGATGAGCCAGTTACTGTAGAGGCAGGATGGCTTATTACTCTCGCATTTTCTGTAATCTCCAAAGATACAGGACATCTCTTTAAGAGAGAGACTTTATTGGGAGCAGGCAGGGGCTTGGGCTAGGACTGGAAGCCTGGTCTTCAGTCTGGAATAACTAAAGTTTCTTGTGTTCTTTCTTACATAACATAGCACATAATCACCTAACACATCTTCTAACTCTTATTCCACATACATTGCAATAGTCCATTCCAGAAAATATGTTTGCTTCAAAACTATTCAGAGCCTCAAGGATGATAGACCAATAGGATATCAAACATAAGATGGATTTCCAAGGCCTTTTTATGACCTGAGTCATAGGGTGCCACAGTCAGAAAACATTAGTGATTGACAGATGAGGCCCCAAAAGATTGAGAAACCTTGCTGAAGACATTGCTAAATTTTGCTGCTTTCTGTGGAGCATGTAAACAAATAGGCTGGGTAGTTTTTAAGAATAGCAAACATTCGTCTTGATTTTTCTTCACTGTTACTTCAACAAAATTATTTGAAAATGAACGGTTGTTTTGGAACTTGGTCATGTTTCTGGCTGCCCTCAATGCCTTGAATTGGGTTGCTGTCTGCATACCCCTCTGCAGGGGGGCAGGAATATCCTGGATTCATACAGGGGGTACCATTACTGTCACTTGAGTAGTGGTTATTCCATTCAGTGGAATGGAATTTTAGAAGGAATTCTCTTATTTTTAAAGAGAAGGGCCCAGGGTGTATCAATAAAAGACTTGCTGATATTCTTGGTCTGCAGAGTAGGTGAAGAAACCTGAAGTGAGGAGGGAATGTTTCACTGTCTCACATGCACGTAGAGAAACCGTGCAAGGAAGCTGTCATTTTGCTATATCCATCTTTGTTTCTTCCCTTTTATCTTTTTGAGAAAGTCTTGCTCCACTGTCTGGGCTAGAGCGCGGTAGTGCCATTATAGCTCACTGCAGCCTCAAATTCCTGGGCTCAAGCGATCCTCCTATTTCAGCCTCCTGACTGGGACTACAAGCATGTGCTCCCAAGTCCAGCTAACTTTTTCTATTTTTTGTAGAGACAGGGTCTCGCTTTTACTCAGACTAGTTTCAAACTCCTGGCTTCAAGTAATCCTCCCACCTCAACCTCCCAAAATACTAGGATTACAGGTGTGAGCCACTGTATCTGACTGACTTCTTCCTTTTTAAATGGTGAAGGTATTATTAAAGGCTTGGGTGGGTTGTCTCCCCAAATTGGAGAGTAGGAGCAACAGTAATTCATTTACTAAATTTTTGAGCATCTACAATGTCAAGCAGTTTCCTAAAACTGAATAAAACAGTGACTAACAAACTGATTTGTTTTTCAGAAAGTCCTTAACCCCATGGAATTCTCAAAGCAAAAATGAACCTTTTTTTTTTTTTTTTGTTCAAGCCAAAGACCAGAGTTAATGCTATCTTCTTATTGGTTCACTTTGGCACCTGTGACTCCACATTTCCTGTGTGTGTCCAAGTTATGCTCATGTCATGGAAGTTAATTACAATCATGGACCTGGTGTCTGTACCACATAAGGCTCCCTCTAAATTGTACCTATCACCTCGGCCTGACCAGTCTTACGAACTGGTTAATGCTTAATGTGGGTGAGATTCGGCCTAACAATCCAGACTACCTTAAATTTGGAGTTAGGAAAAGATTCTCTTTATTTTGTTCTTACTCAATTTCATACCTTCCAAACCAGTCAGAAATATGTGTAGGATAGACAAGTTGCTTTGTTCATAGGAAGGGCTAAAACACCATTCAGTATTTCTATGAACTTGTTTACTCTGTCCTGTATGAATCCCTTAACTGAAAACTTGATTATATTGCTAAAGATTTTTAAAGATCTATGGTAGTCCTTGATTTATTTTTCTCTTAAGTCAAAGTGAGAAATTATCTGATGACTTAATTTATCTTAGTATTTGATTATTGAAATGCTAATTCTCTAGTAGCTATATCTGACAGTTGTATTTTTGAAATTATTCAATTCATGCAAGTATAATGAAAGATCTCCCCCCACCCCTAATAAAACTGTGGGCCTTGATTCCTTTGAAAGTTTCTAACTACCCTACCCAATACTCCCTGATCAGCCTGCCTATATTACATGAATTACCCAACTCTTACTAAAGATTTGGCAGTATTCTGTCCCCTACCTCCAGGTTTTTCCCCTCATCAAAAACTAAATGAATGTTAAAGTTCATGCTGACAGTCACTGTTCACCTTCGCAGCTGCACTCTGTTCCTGCAGATGACTATGTGAATCTGGGAGAGTGGGAGCACATTGTTGCCATAGCCACCCATGAGAAACACCAGACCTGGCATTAGCCGCTGACAGCACTGAACTTATCACCCACACTTAATGCTGGCATGAATGAGGAGACCCTAAGTAACTGTGACTGGGAAGAAAGTTCCCTGAGCTGCTCCTACGTGAGTGAAAGTACAGTTGAGGCTGAGCTGGACAGGAGATCAGTGTCCTCTACTTGGTGCTCTTTCCATCTTGGGGAAGGAGATGAAAGATCTTAATGTGACACCTAAGTGGAAAAAACAATTCTCAAAGTGTTCCTGTGAAGAATGACAGCATTTCCACCTCTCTCTCCCTTTATGTGAACAAGTGTGTAAAAGTGACCAGTAACAGCTCCCACTTCCAGCTTATACTGGAGACGATGTTAGTAATAACAATAGCTTTTGGTTGTGAAAGTAATCTGCCTTTCATGAGACAGGTGTTGGCTACAGTAATGATCCCACTGAAGGAGGGTACAAAACACAGACCTGAAATAACACGACCATTGCATTGGGAAACCCTGGCCATTCTGGTTCTGGTGTCTTCCACCTTTGAGGATGAAAGAGAAAAAGAAAATGCTGGCTGCCTTACCTGAATTGAGACACAGCACAGAAGTGGTTTTCGAAGATCTCGGGGGATGGTGTACTTTCCCTTCCTGAGAACAACCTGAAATTAACCAACAACTGTCATTTATCTTTGACCAGTCACAGCTGTGGCCTGATCAGGGATTAAATTCCTTATGAAGGCAAGGGCTTAAGCTTGCAGGTGCCTGCCAAGATAAATGAGGTATGGTGTGGTCCAGGGCAGAATCCTGAGATTTTGTTCCTAGACTGCAGGAAATCTTTCTAAAGGTGCTTTGGCTCAACTTCTTACTGTTGAGGAGCTAGCCAGTCTTGTTTCTACTGAGTTTATTTGGATGGCAAAAATTTTCCAGAGCTAAAAATGTTCAATTCCCAGCAGTTAATCTGCTGAAGGAGCATTTACTGTAGTGCTTGGGTTTGGGGCATTCTCACAGAAGGGAAACCCTCTACTCTTTGCACAGGAAGGGTCAAAGTGAGGTAGACAGAGTCTAGCTAAATCTTGAGTCCCTCAAATGGGTGAGGTAAAGGGAGTCCCAAGCAGACCTGGAGAGGTCTAATGGTGAGGCTTTTAGTCCTGGAGATGACAGAAGGCCTCAGAAAACCAGGATTCTGACCCAAGATCGCTGGAAGGGAGGCACTTAATGGTACTGAGAATTGTCTTGGTGCTTGAAAGTAGAGTAAGTTTTTGTCCTACTGGAGGTTTGTGCCCTATAATTAAGGGCAGTCTCATACTCTGATGTGGCCCTCCCTGGGGGTGCTAACTGTAAACTCCCAGGTGACAATTACCGTAGATTTGCTTGAGCACTGAGTGCTTGGTGGCCTTTGTGTTTGCGCTGCTCTTGGATGGACTCCTGGGGGCCTTGCTCACTGCAGGGGCCTTCGGGAGCTTTGGGTCCAGTTCCTTCCTCCACACCTGGAGGAGCAATGCCGTACATTCTCGGTTCCACCTGTCCACGTTGCCAGCTCCAAGCTGCTTCATATGCAGGAGATAGGACAGATGCTTCCTGAGCTGGTAGCTGGGGGAGATGGAGGAGAGCAAAGTCTTTAATGTCACAATACTGAGAAAATGAAATTTCTTTTTTTTTTTTTTTTTTTTTGAGACGGAGCTTCAAGCTATCCCCCTGGGTAGAGTGCCATGGCATCACGCTCACAGCAACCTCTAACTCCTGGGCTCAAGCAAGTCTCCTGCCTCAGCCTCCCAAGTAGCTGGGACTACAGGCGCCTGCCACAACGCCTGGCCGTTTTTTGGCTGCAGCCATCATTGTTGTTTGGCGGGCCCAGGCTGGGGATTTGAACCCACCACCTTAGGTGTATGTGGCTGGCGCCTTAGCCGCTTGAGCCACAGGCGCTGAGCCGAAAATGAAATTTCTTTAAGGTTCCTAAAAGATACAGGAATAATATTTGCTGAACTGGGAGATTCATTAAGGCTGCCAATTCTAACATCAGTGCAACATGTGCAATGCTGAATTCTATCTTTTTATATCATCAAATAACTTCCTGAACTAGGGTTCAATCAGAGGGGTCCTTGCCCCTGTGGAGCTCACAGACCAGTGGGGCAGGCTGAGGTGTAACAAGGAGGTGCAGCATGTGGAGTATTGTCCAGGAGCAAGGAGCTCCAAAGGGTATGGGAGAGAGTGCAGGACTGACCGTTGCTGGCAGTGAGTGTGGTGAGGCTTTCCCAGGCTACTATCTGTGCTGGGTTTGAAAGGATGAGCAGGAGCTCACCAGGCGGAGATGTGCATTCTAGGCAGCAGAACTGGGCATATGGGGGCAGAGGTGTGGGCATTTGAGCAAGAAAGACCTACTGCGATGTGGTGAAAGCATTGTGTACTCAGCCTCACTCAACCTGCATTTGTTGAGGGTCTGCTGTAAACAAGGCACTTTGCACCTGTCAACTAGACCTTAGGAGGTGCAAAAACCTGAGTAACTTGCAGAAGGTCACACAGCCAGAGCTGGGAGAAAACAACATTTGAACTCAGGGCTGTCTGGCCCAACAGCCAAATGCTGCTGTGGACTTTGGTCTGCATTCTGCATATCCTGGGGACCCACTGAGTACTTCAAGATGAGTAAAAGTAAGAGCTGTGCTTTCTTAAGATCATTCTGCTGTACATGGCGGGCCTTGGAGTAGGGAGGGACAGGAGGATGGTGGCTATGTTTACATCCAGGGTTTCTATGGTCCTTTTTATCCCATGGGAACTCCCAAACTTATTATTGAACACAACAACTATTTTGAAACCTACAAAGGATTCATCCTTATAGTGTATGAAAAAAAGGGGGAAAAAAACCTCCAAAGGAAAGCTGCATCAGTGTTCATCATCTATAACTATTTATTCCTGGTGAGCCTATGGGTAGCTGCAGAGAGCAACCAGCCCCATGCTTGATTTTACAACACACCAAATGAGAGGTAAGTGTTATCCTAAGTCTGCTAAAGGCTCCTTGCAGTGTGTGGTGTGGCCTCTTTCCACAGGCTGATTCAAATCACCCAGTATAATCCTTCTGATTCCTAGAGGAAACACACCATGGCATCCCTCTACCAGATGCATGCCGCATTTCCCAAAAGCCAGCTGCAGAGAAAAGCTAGGGTGATGAGGCTCTGTGGCTCCACAATTCAGTTTCTCCCACTGAGATGCCGAGTATCTTTTACACCCTGTGCTCTAACAGGTGGAGGACTCATAGGGTAGCTCAGGTGTTGGCCAAAGTGTGAGTAGTTTCCACTTTCAGTGGGCACAGCTTCTACCAAATCAGCTCTGGTACTGAGAGTGTGAATCGGTATCCAGGGGACACACTGGTCCTTGTGGTCAGAGAAACAGCCTCTGTTCTGTTCCCAAGGAGAATACATACACTCTGCTGGCTTGTTGAGAATCCTTGTCCACTAGTCCCTTCCCACCCTGGCTCTTCTATGGTCCAGCCTAGTCTTGCTTATCAGCCCAGAACGTGCTGCAGGAGGGCTGATAGGGCGGGAGCTTGCACATGTTCGGGTAAAGCTGAAGTATTTACACAGCAACTGCTTTTAACCATGGCAACTTTCCAGCTCAGCTTGTCCACTATCTGGTTTCGATCTTTAAAATATTCAAGTCTTAATTGGGAATAAAACTCATATTTCACTGTAGGTTTCATTTTCTCCAGGCCAAGGCTGAGTCTGCCCACCCTGTCTCTGTGTATCTTCCGCCCCGTTCTCCATCCTCACACGCCGCTGTAATGACAGCCTGCACTTACTGAGCACTTGTGAGTGCAGCCCTGCCTGCCACCCTTCCCTCCTGCTCCTTGGGTTTGGTGTCAGACACACCGTTCCAGGACAATACTGTGGGCTCTGTAGTTAAAATGGAAAGCAGTTAAAATACAACAGAATCAGTGAAAATTTGTTTATTATCACCAAACACGTGGCTTTCCACAACGTGTGGCATGCCTCAGGTTCTTTGGGAATTGATGTCCCCAGGCCTCCAAACTACACAATGGCACAGCCAGAGTGTCCTGTAGCATGGCCTGCCCAGGTGTGCGTGTTAGACCACGAGCCCACTGTTCTTCAGGGCAATGACTGAAGGTTCACTGACTCCTCTGGACACTTACTGACAGGACCTGTCAGCTTCTGATTCTTCAAAGGAGTCAAAGAACAGACAGCCAGAAGGAGACATTTCAGCTACACAGCAGCTGTGAGGCCTGATGTGGTCAACTGTGCTGGCTTGCTTAGATCCCAGGCTTCAGCCAAAAAACTTAACAAAAGTTCCTCTGGATGGCAGCCAGTGCATGTCCTGGCACAGCTCTCAACTAAGGGGAGCAATGGCCACTCCATCTGAGGCTTCAGAGGCCTATCTCAGCTCACAGCCAGTGTGGGCACATCCTAGCTCTGTAACAGGAGGCTGGTTAACCTCCATGCTCCAGTTTCCTTGTCTGTGAACTGGGGATAAGAGCTGCTGGGGGTTATTGTGGCAAATAAATGAGTTAATGTATAAAAAACTACTTTAAACAGTTTCTGCCACAACTGCCCCATAAACAATTAAGTACTCATGTTAGTGACAGTAGTAACATCACCCTGCTCCTAGGTGGGACCCTGGAGTGTGTGAGCACCATCCAGCCTGTTCTTAGGCAAAGAGCATGAGGCCTGCCTCAATGTGCACTATCTTGACCACAGCAAAAACCAATCATGTGAGAGAAGGCTCTTGGATTTGAGTCAGACAGAGGCTCACAAGGACAAGTAATTTTTCCTCTCTTGTCTGAAAAACAGAGATACTAATACCTATCATGATAGCTTCCTGGTGTGGCTGGTGATCCAATGGGAGCAGGTGTGAGAGAGGACTTAGTCAATGACTGAGAGCTTGAACAGACACGAGGATACCTTATTGCAATGGCTGGGCAAGCACAGCCGGATCACATGGCTCTGGGTGAGACAGTCCTGGGCACATTTCCAGACCTCTCCCTGGACCTCCAAAGAATCTACCTTGTTCTCTTCTTTTCTGCCACTGTTAGGGTTCTCTCAGCCCCCTTTTTCTCTTTCTCCTGAGAGGCCTTGATACTTGGCATGCTTGTTCTTGTAGTGATTTACTTATGCTGTCCCCTGTCAGTCTTCCTCTCTCCAGCAACGGAAGCCACATAACTGCCTCCTACTGGCCATGGGCTCAGCCTTTCCCTGGACACCATCATCACTGTCACGCCCAGTTTAGAATTAGGCCCCAGTGAGCCGACAGCATGAAAGAGATTATGAGATACATGAAAACTGGTAGCAAAGGACTCCTCTTGGCTTCCCTTAATTACCCCCTCAAGGTAACCGTCTTACCATACCAGGATACTGTCACTGTCAGTCTTTTAAGACAACCACCCCCACTCCCAGAGCCTGTTCCACTTTTGAGCTTGGCAGGTGCTCAGACAGGTTTATGTAATACATTTTGGTCAATTCAACCCAGGTCTTGGCTTAGTATTTGGAATATGACTAAACCCTGGGTAGTAAAGACATAAAAAGAAGAAAAATATAGTATCTTGTATGTAGCCTTTAGGATTTATGAAGCATGCATTATTTTCTCATTCTAGCAACATGTCATATAAACAGGACAAGTGACAATTGTTAAATCCTATTTTATAGATGAGGAAACTGAGGATCAGAGAAGCCAAGTGATTTGCCCAAAGTCACATAAAAAGCTTTACCTGAACCCCAAGCTTCCTGGTTACAAACCTAGGACCTTTACACCACACTGTCCTGGGTACTTGCCCATCTTTCCGGGCAAAAGCATCTTATCTTCCAGATAGCTGAAACAATGTAAATTAACGGCTCTACACATGTGTGAATTTCATGGGTAGGCTCCACATGACGTTCACTAGGAAAACATGGGGAGCACAGGGGTGGGGTCAGGAACAACAAGGCTCGAGGACACTGCAGCAGCTCCGTTCCTACCTTCGCCAAGCACGCTGGATGACTGCTGCCGCCTTGTTCTTTTTGCGAAACAGCTCTTTCCGACTTCTTTCTCTCTGGATTATCTGCAGTCGGAGCTCTACGGGGAGAAGGTCAATATTCACACTCTGCCCAGAGAGGGGAACAGGTGCTGGATCAGTCTCCTTAGATACCTGAATGTCCTCGGACAGGACAGATGTCCCCATTGTCCTGGCTCCTGACCTCAACTCCTCTGTGCTCTGTGGCAAATCTGAATAGACCCCTCCTGCGAGCTTGGTCTGTGTCACTTTGTTTCTTGGTGTGCGATGCTGGAGAGAATTCTGCCCAGCATGGACCACCTCCCCCCTGGCACTGCCAGGCCGGCTAGAACCAGCTGGGGAGCACCTTCCTCCTTTGAGCTCTTGAATGCGCCTTTTCTGAGGGGCACATTTGGCCGTGGGTGCCGTGCCCTGCCACCTGCTGGGCTTCCGGTGCCCATCCTGGTGTGGCAGACTTGCAGCTGCCCGATGGGGGTCCTCTCCTTTGTCATCAGGCCTGGCCACCCTAATGCAGGGGGGCTGCTTCAAGAGGCCTTTTCCCTTTTCACACTGCTGAGTGCCAGCTGTCTCACCTCTGGACTTCTCAACAGAGGAGACTCCTGGACGCCTGTTTTCATCACTGCCTTCATTGGGTCTGAAGTGAACACAGGCAGAGCGGCCTTTAGAAAGTTCTCTGGATATTTCTTAGGGAAACAAAATGCAGAAGAATATTTATTTTCCAAAACTTGCACAGTAGGAAAATTTGTTCACATAAAATATTCAGACTTAGCATATAGCATCACATAGTAGTGGCAATTATGATTAGGAAAATAACTGTTTAACTTCTTTTTTTTTGAAACAGAATCTATTCTGTCACCCTGGGTAGAGTACCATGGAGTGATAGCTCACAGCAACCTCAAACTCTTGAGCTCAAGCGATCCTCTTGCTTCAGCCTCCTGAGGAGCTGGGACTACTGGGGCCTGCCACAACACTGGCTAGTTTTTCTATTTTTAGTAGAGACAGGGTCTTGTTCTTGCTCAGGCTGGTCTCAAACTCCCGAGCTCAAGCAATCTACCCACCTCAGCCTTCCAGAGTGCTAGGATTATAGGCCTGAGCCACCATGCCCAGCTAAAAACTGCTTAACCTCTATGTCTAGCCACATAATACATAAGCTGGAAGCCTTTGACTTGTCATACTTTTAAGAAAATAAAAGAACTCTCTGGAAGCCAAAAAGAGAAAACTGAAAATTAAAGCAATAAGTACACGTATGTGAGTTAATCCAACAACTTTCTAAGCATAGAGTAGTGTTTGAGTGGGCAATGGACAGCCTTATTAAATACCCGATTGTGTTTTAACATCCAGATAAGAACAAAAAATGAGGCTTTGCAGGTCCAGTTAGTTGGACTCAAGACTATGAACCCAGGACTCTTGAAGAAATATATATACCTTTGGGAAATTAAATAGATCTGCTTTCTGGCAGATATACCTTTGGAAAATGACAAGGAATTTTGTTACAGCCTAGGTTCTGGATGGGTTAGAGTCTGTCATAGTGATCTTTCTAAGATTATGTCTCCTTCCATTTCCCTATTTGAAACAACAAGGTTAATTATAATAACAGTTCACATTTACAGGCACTGTAATGGACTTTAGGCACTGTCCTTAAATCTTTGTATGGGCTCTTTCATTGATGTTCACAAATTTCTAAGGCAGTCATTATTATATTTTTTTTAATAAAGAAATTGAAGCCTCGAGAGGCAAAGTAACTTGCTAAAGACTACACAGCTAGTAAGTGGTAGACTCTAAATGTGAACCTAGGCTGTGTCATTCCAAAGCTTGTACATTTAGCCAATATGCTTTGCACATAAGGTAAACAACAAACAGGAAGAATTATTATGAGAGAGAAGGTAAAAAGTGCTTGACTTGTTAGGAGACCTTGGACAAATCCCCATTTCCGGGCCTCAGTTTCCTGCCTTGTTTTGGGGAGGCAGTGCTAGATGCTCTCTGAAGACTCTCAAACTCTAACATTCTCTATGAATCAGAATGGGAGAGAAAAAAGAAAAGGTCAGCATTTCCCATCTCTGGGTTCTTGCTGGAGGGCCCACCCTTTGAGTCAACATTGCCTGACCACTGATATGTCGAAGCAGCTGTAGCCTTTCTTTATAAAGTGGCTAATAGGGTCCTCTGCCCAATTATGTTGGTGTCTCCTAAGGATACCATAACCTCTAGGCAATGGTTAGTCTCCTAAGGATACCATAACCTCTAGGCAATGGTTAGTCTTGATTCCCAGAAGTGCTTCCCTATTTTCCGACTCTTAGGCAGGTGAATAAGGTTAAGTCTCCCCATGAAATTGGAGCTCTCTTTCCTTACATCTAAAGCAGTCTCACTGTCCTCCTTTCTTTCAGCTGTCCCCAAAGTCTGGATGCTTGGCTTCTGTTTACATGTGTGTTTGAATCTGGCTATTCACAAAGGTATCTTTTCAGGATACCACCTCCCATCCTCAAATAAGTGAGAAGCTCCCCTGTCTCTATGTTGTTTTAGAACAGTAACTTAGAAAATTTTCAACAGTGTCCTCTAGCAAGACATAAATCTTACAACGTGGCCTGGTTTACTCATATGCACGCATGTGCACACACACATATACACATAGCTGTAACCAAAACAGAGCTCATTACTCTTCCAATATACTTTGGTATTTTCTTTTTCTTTTTTTTTTTTTTTTTCAGTTTTTGGCCGGGGTTGGGTTTGAACCCACCACCTCTAGCATATGGGACTGGCCGCCTACTTTGAGCCATAGGCACCACCCCGATATTTTCTATTATAGTCTATATCATAAAAATATGCTGGTTCATGAGTCATATATGGCTTGAAAATCATAAAATCATGTACTAGGATTTCCTTGAGGAGATCTTGTTAGTATTAGTGTAATTAAAGGAAAAAAGGTCTGGTGATTAGAAACTGAAAGACTGTGGATGTGAGGCTTCTCCATTAGAATGTGATCCTGTCCGCAGTAGATCTGACTGCCTTCAGGCTGATGTCTCAGGGTGTTTTTTAATCAGCAAGGTGACATGAACCACACCTGTGTAGTTGTAAGAAGTCTGAAGTTACTGTGTTCTTCTCTCTGCTCTGGAGAGCACTGAATTAGGGCCATTATTAGCATTGTACATTTGAAGTTACAGTGATTAAGTGTAATTCTTGGGGTACAGAGTAAACTTCAACCAAACCTTTAATGGGTGGTTTCTAAGAGAATTCAGGTCAAGAAGTATTTACCTATATACCCAATGTGTGTTTACTACTATAGAAAAGAAGCGGGTGGTCCTTAGCCTTAATTGATAATTCAGTATGGCTGGCACAATGTGTGGGCTCAAAAACATAGTTGTTGGATGAATACATTGCATAAATAATCTAGTAAATTGTGCAAAGCAAATCTTTGCCATAAAAATGATATTCTGTTACATGACTATAACCAACACTTTTCATCTTGTGTTTAATGACCTTTCATCTCTGAATCTCTAGCACCTAGCTTGTGCTATCTAACTATAAATTCAGCAAGTATTTTCTTGTGTGCCAGACACCCTGCAAGGTGCTAGAGATACAGAAGTTAACAGATGCATGGCCTCTCCTGACAGACTGTTTAATGGGCAAAGATTTTCCTCATCCTAACAGGCATGTACTTTTCTAATGTAATACTGCCACGTCTTCTATCCAAAGGTGGAGTCTATTTCTCTGCTTCCTTAAATCTGGGCTGACAGTGTAACTTGCTCTGATCTGCAAAATAAGGTAGAAATGATATGGAAGTTCTGGGGTCTAGGCCTCAAGATGTCTTGCAGCTTCTTTTTTTTTGAGACAGAGTCTCATTTTGTTGCTCTGGGTAGAATGCTGTGACGTCATAGCTCACAGCAACCTCAAACTCTTTGGGCTCAAGTGATCTCCTTGCCTCAGCCTCCAGAATAGCTGGGACTACAGGCGCCTGCCATAAAGCCTGGCTATTTTTTAGAGATGGTGTCTCACTCTTGCTCAGGCTGGTCTTGAACTCCTGAGCTCAGGCAATCCACCCACCTCAGCCTCCCAGAGTCTAGGATTACAGGTGTGAGCTACTGCACACTGCCAGATGTCTTGCAGCTTCCGCCTTTTTCCTCTCAGAGCAGTGCTCTGAGTATGTAGGGAAGAGGGTTTAGTGGAGAATGAAAGGCAGCACAGAAAAGCATGAAGGTACCTCAGTGCACAGACAGCACCACTTGCCAGACATATAAGGGAGGCCACCTAGGGCTTTCCAGCCCAGTCAGCCTTCTAGCAGCCACACGAGCTCAAGTCATCTAGCAGAACTGCCTACCTAACTCACAGACCAGTGGGAAATAAACTGTTGATGTTTTAAGCCACTTACTTTTGGGGGTACTCTGTTATGGCACAAGAGAAAGCCAACACAGAAAATGACAACTAAAAAGACAGGTGTCCTAAAAAAAATCTAATACACACGGCATGACTCTGGGACTGGTTGGTGAACAGAAACTGGGAAGGCAATGAGAGAATGTTGGTGAAGGTGAGAAGAACAGAGAAAAAGCTGCATTGGAGTCTAGAGAACGGTGAACCTTGTTATTCAGTGACAGAATAACTGGCAAAATTTTCACCTGCAGTAACTTGGAAGATAGAAGATATACCTAATGAACTCACAGATACGGCACAGGAGATTTCCAGGTGGAATCTCAAAGAAACCAAGTGCTTTTTAAGCTGCTTACGATGAAGTATTGGGAAAAAGAAAGAAAATACAGAACTACTAAGTTGTCAGCAGAATTCAGAGGAAGCATAAAGAACCCAGGATATGCTGGGTTAGAAAAGAAAACTGTTAAACATTTTTAATCTCTCCAGCCAGCAAGAGTCCTATTGTAAGACATGGCCTCAGAATAAGAAAATCAAATCAATAGTAGGGTTGTAGGACCCTTTATTAAGAGCTCAAAAATATTCAAGGTAGTGCTTAGTGGGCCCTCTCAGCACCATTCTCAGGCAAAAGAATGTCTAAGAATTTCAAGGACACTTCCCCACAGAAGTCTGAGCCACTCAAATTAGTCTGATGTGGTTTGAAAATTAGTTATAAATGTGGTTTTTGGAACATGGAATGAGCCCAATTGGATTCACAGGAAACTCGTGAGCTTTCTGAGATAATTGTGTCGCTGAGTATCTCCAGGCGGAAATGGTGAGGCTTTCAAAACAAAAAGAAGCCTCTGGGTCCCCAGTGTCCTACGGTCAGGAAACAGAATAAGAACGCTACTCAACTGCAAACAGGGGCCATTTCTATGTTCCCAGGGAACACAGCCAGGGGTCCAGGTAGCCGAGCCAGAGACCCTAAGCAAAGAATATCCCGTAACTTGGAGTAGGGGCCCTACTGACCAGCTGGCTTTCTGAATTGCTATGTGCCTCCCACTCCACCCCTTTTTGGAACAAGAACGTCTAGGGTGGGTTTCTGGTCCCGTCTGGCCACTGCTTGTTGCATGTGGGGGAGGGGTTAGTAACGTGTCTTTTGGTTGAGTGTCCCTCAGTCAAGTGAAGTCCTGCCTGGGGAACCTGGGCCACGTCTGGACCTGATACAGGAGGTCTCAAGCTTCTAGACTTCACGTATGATGTGATAATCAGGATGAGATTTTGGGGTCCTGAGATAGGAGTTAGAATATCTTGCCTGTGGGAGGAATATGAATAATCTGTGACCAAAAAGGAACTCGATGGATAGTTTCATAGCCCAAATTCCCCCCATCCTAGGAGGCGTAGAGGTGGAACTATTTCCCCACATCACTGCGTCTGGAGTGGTCTTTTAACTTTCTTTTGACCACCGTAAGGTGGTGAGCAAAAGCGCCTGTTTCTCAAGGGGTCTCGCACCTTTTGCCTTTGCTTTCTGAGAACGCAATTCTGTCTTGAGACCACCATGTAGGAAGCCAGTCTAGTCTACTGGAGGACTGACGGCCAGGATCAACTGCTAGACGGTCAGTTAGTGTGTCTGAGACCAGACCATTCAACTGACTTTCCACCTGAATGTGGGTGAGACCTGCAGGAAAGCCCAACCACGCTATAGAATCAGGAGAAACAGTAATTGCTATTGAAAGCTACTTAGGTTTTGTGTGGTTTATGATATAGCAGCTGACAACTGAAACAATCCTACTCTTTATAGATCCTATAGTCTACTGAAAAAAATAAAGTCAACCAGTAACAACAGTGAAAGCTGATGATCTTTATAATAGGGAAATATAGGGCAGGGATCAGAGCGTATAGCAGGAAAATGTAGCCTCACTGAGTGGGGAGAGACGGCTGTACAGAAGAAGGAATATTCACCCTGAGATCTGAAAAAAAAGTACAGGAAGCACCAACTGCAGAGGCCCCGAGCTAAGAAAAACTCATGGAAATTCACCATGGCTGTCACATTCTGGGAGCCTAATTAGAGAATAAACGGATGTGCATGGAACACAGTATCACTTTCCTTAGGAGTTGCACTGCTGACACACTATCACTGTAAAGTGGATTATGGCCTTAAATTCCAGGAATGTTTATGGTCATTTATGTGTATTTTTATGTAGTTATTCTTGGCTAGATGAGCTGTATGGCTTAATAATGATAGTTACTGAGGACCTCCTGTGCGTCATGGTCTATAATAAATACTCTATATTGATTATTTTATCTCTATCCAAAACTACCTTGCAGGGTAGAGAATGTACACCCTACTTTATAGGTAAGGAAATTAAGGTTCAGTGAGACAATCTGAATTGTCCAAACCCTGAATGAAGTGACCCTTTCTCAGAGTCCACAGGTCAAAACTATTTTCAGAATAATACTAAGACATCATTTGTCTTTCTTACTGTGTTGGCATCTACACTTAGATTTTGGGAGGGATCCCACCATTCTCTAACTTGTAAGAGTGAACTCAATGTGTTTGAATTGCTTTGTGCTAACAATATGACTCAGGCCTAACACCTGCTTTCCTTTTGGGAGGCTGGACAGAATTTTGGCATGTATTAGGCGGAGGGTATCTATGAGACTGACTCCTGATAAAAATTCTGGAGTTGTACCAGCTTTCCTTGTGGACAAAAGGTTGTCTAACTGGTTGTTACAATTTATTGTTGAACGAATGAATTGTGTTGTGTGTGGGTCCGTTGGAAGAGGACTCTCGGGAAGCCTGTGCCTCGTTTCCTCTGGACTTGCTCCAAGTACCTTTTCCCTTTGCTGATGTTGCTTTGTGTCTTTCTGTTATAATAAATCATAGCTGTGAGTACAACTATATGCTGAATCCTGTGAGTCCTCCTCACAAATTACCAAAGCTGGGAGCAGTCACTGGAACCCTGACACAGTAAGCGAACTCCAAATAGGATAAAGTGCAAAAACTCAAGCCAAAACACATCAGATTAGACTTTCGAAAATTAAAGATAAAGGAAAAAAAGTCATGAAAGCAGTCAGAGAGAAATGACGTGTTAGGGAAGAACATTCTTTTTTTTTTTTCTGAGACAAAGAGTTTATGTCGCCCTCAGGAGAGTGCCATGGCGTCACAGTGCACAGCAACCTCAAACTCTTGGGCTTAAGCGATTCTCTTGCCTGAGCCTCTCAAGTAGCTGGGACTATAGGCGCCCGCCATAACGTCCGGCTATTTTTTGTTGCAGTTGTCATTGTTGTGTAGTTGGCCTGGCTGGGTTTGAACCTGCCAGCCTCAGTGTACGTGGCTGTCACTGTAACCACTGTGCTACGGGCGCTGAGCCAGGAAGAACATTCTGAGGACCACTAATCTGAATGACAGAGGACTTCTCATGGAAACTACAAAAACCAGAAGGACGTGGCACAGTATTTGACAAGTGCTAAAAGAAAAGCACTACCAAGCATGAAAGAGGCACACTCAAACTATAAATCCATCAAGATGGGAGGCTAAGAAGTGTTGAAGTAATTCACAGAATAAGAAGAAAAAGAGAGGAAAACAGAGATCACCTCACAAAATGGCAGACTTAAACACTAACATAATAATTACCCCACATGTAAGTGGTCTAAATACACCAATCAAAACAGCCCCTAGTCCACGATCGGCATCAGACAGCAAAGGCAAAACACCTACCATTTGGCTTTCTGGACCTTGTTCCCTGCGAGTCTGAGGCAACACCCTGCTCCTTTTGGGGATCCCTGCCTAGAGACCCTCCTGGAGACCCTCGGCAGTCTTCCGGCCCAGGGCTGGGGGCAGTGTTGTCAGCAGGAGGCTGCTTGATGGGGGTCCAGCTCTGCCTGCGGGGCTCATCCTGGGTGCTGGGCAGCCTGGGAAGGGCTGGGGCTCTGCAGGCTTCTGGGCTCCACCTTCCTTTCTGCTGTTCTGCCTCCTTTCGCTTGTTTTCTTCCTCCCGCTTTCTGGAAGCAAAGCCGAAGAGGAAGAGGAAAAAATTAAAAGAGTATCACTTGCTCAAGTGATGCTGAGAGAGGTTTAAATTTTAAGAAAAACTACCACATCACAGGAGGTATTTGGAAATTTGCATTTTCTAGGAGCAGTCTTTTCTCTAGATAAAATAAAAACCAGCCTTTTTATACCAGGCCTTATAGCTCAAAAGATGGTGGACATGAAAAGAATATTATGGATTAATCTCTGCACCGCGAAGACACACATGACGGATAACCAGGCAACATTTTTGTGTAAAATATAACACATTCCCAAGGGTGTGTGTCATTCCTCGAGCTACCTGGGACTCTATGCTTTTTTCTCTTGTTCTAGAAAGCATATCAGAATGTAACTGAGAGTGACAGCTGTAGGGATAACGTTGACTCTGATTTATTTAAAAAGCCCAATGGCAAACCTTAATGATAACATAAAAAAATACTTGTAGCTCTTTCGCATCCTCACTTCCAAGAAGACAAAGAAAAGAAGGAACAATGTAATTCCCCAAAGCGCCGTGACCATGTGCAGCCTATTCACTGCAGGAACTGTGCCAAGGCGTGTGTAAAGACACAGCTGTCAGGAAGTTCATCATTCAGAGCACAGTGGAGTGTCTTCCATGCCGATGTGCTTCCCAAGCTCTGTGTCAAGCTAGATAACTATGTGAGTTGTGCCATCCACAGCAAGGTCGTCAGGAACTGTTCTTGAGAAGCCCGCAAGGACTGAACATCCCAACCCAGATTTAGACCTGGGGTTGCTGTCCGATGACCTCCATCAAAACCCATGTAGGGAGTTGAGTCCTTGAGGACTGAAGGAAAACTATCCTTTAGGAAAAAATAAAATGGGCCAGAATCCTAGCACTCTGGGGGGCTGAGATGGGTGGATTGCCCTGAGCTCAGAGGTTTGAGACCAGCCTGAGCCAGAGCGAGACCTCTGTCTCTAAAAAATAGCTGGTCATTGTGGTGAGCACCTGTACTTCCAGGTACTTGGGAAGCTGAGGCAAGAGGATTGCTTGAGCCCGAGAGTTTGAGGTTGCTGTGAGTTATGACCATAGCACTCTACCAGGAATGACAATGACAGGCTCTGTCTCAAAAATAAATAAAATAGTTCAAACCTGGCCCCAGCCAAAAACTGCAATAAATAAATAAATAAAAATAAAAATAAAATAAAACAAAATGGAAATTGCAACGATGATATTGAGAGCTTTAGTTGAGTCAAATCTTTTCTCTTTACAGAGAGGGCCAAAAGGTAGGATGATTTTCAAAAATCATACACAAGCAGCTGGTGGCTGGGCTGTTAACCCCTGGGTAGTAACAGAAGAGGGCAGAGCAGGAGGGCAGGTCTAGAGATAAGTAGCAGCAGGAGGCAGATGGCCCAGAGAGGCCTGAGCAGCCTGAGGATGAAGAGGCTGAGTTAAGGGCAAGATTTGTTTGACCAAGGCCATTCATTTGTAGGAATTTTCAAAGGAAATTCCTTGGAAGGAGGACAAAAAACCCTTATTTTCTGAGATTCTCCTTTGCTGGGCACTGAGGATACAGAAATCAGAACCCACCAAGTCCGGCATATGGGGCCAGCGCTCTACTCCTTTGAGCCACAGATGCCACCCCAGAACAGAGCTTCTTATACACAATATATATATTTGGTACGCAGGTGATTGATTCTCAGATTCTCAGTTACTACTCAGGAAGAGAATCTGGAAGCCATTTAAAGGTTCAGTTTAAAATAGAATGATTAGGGCAGTGCTTGTGGCTCAGTGGGTAGGGCGCCAGCCCCATATACTGAGGGTGGTGGGTTCTAACCTGGACCTGGCCAAACTGCAAGAAAAAAACAGCCAGGCGTTGTGGTGGGCGCCTGTAGACCCAGCTACTGGGGAGGCTGAGGAAAGAGAATCGCCTAAGGCCAAGAGCTGGAGGTTGCTGTGAGCTATGATGCCACGCACGCTACTGAGGGTGACAAAGTGAGACTCTGTCTCTAAAAAAATGAAGTAAAATAAAATAGAATGATTAAAGATATGGCAGAGAGAACCCTTTGCTGGGAAGTATAAGAAGTTTTCTAGTCCTGCTACAGCCAATAACTACTGAAGGACCTCGAATGAGTCACTTGCCTGTCAGAGATTGCTTCTGGATCGAAAAGTGTTAATTCTGGCTTGACTTAGGGGTCTGTTTTGGAAACCAGTTATCTTTACAAAATTTAGGATTCCTTTTGTAATGAGATGGAGAGGTTTTGTGGTAGTAGCTGGCTGGGATCAGAGTCCCTGTAGTGGAGGGGGACCTTGTTTAGATAAACACTTCAAAAAGCTTAGGGATAGGACTGAGGTATGGTAGAAGGTGAGACCTCAGGGCCTGGCTAGTGACTGGGTTCTGAGGCTCCAGAGAAAAGGGCTTCTTCGAAGGAGACAAATTTGTAGCTTCCACACCTGAGAGAGGAGATAAAGGATCAAGGGGGAGAGAAAGGAGAGGGAAGGAAGAGAGGACAAGAGACAGAGCAGGGCCCGGGCAAAGAGAATCCTCCTGTGCTGAATAACAGAGAAGGACTTCAGGGCCACGTGAATGGGCTGAATCACCGGATTACCTCGGCAGTTACCAATTCTAATTTGCCAAGTCTGGGGTGGGACTCGAGATTCTGCATTTCTAACAAGCAGAATCAGATTATTCAGGTGTCACTGGTCCTCTGACCACACCCCAAATAGCCAGGGTTAAGAGAACAGTTAGCTAGACAGTTAGGGGATACGAAATCTATGATATGAAATGGGATTCTTCTCAATGACACCAACTTTTTGTGAGGTCCACTAAGCTCATTTTTTAAATAAACAACCTGATAAATATCAGACACAGAAGCAAGAATCCAGACTTCCACAGACTACAGAGTCACAGACGATGCATCTCAAGGGACAGGGAAGACCCTCTGACAGATATCTGGGTTATACTTTAATTTAAAATCTTATCAACTCATTAAATTCCCCTCTGACAGTCTTTCTTCCCACTGATCTGGGGACAAGCTAGCTGGTGTAGCAGTTTTCCATGGAGTCCCATCACAGAGGACATGGCAGGTGGGTCATGCTAGCTCCTGTATGGCTCCAGTGTTTTTTTTTTTTGAGACAGAGCCTCAAGCTGTCCCCCTGGGTAGAGTGCCGTGGCATTATAGCTCACCTCCAACTCCTGGGCTCAAGCGAGTCTCCTGCCTCCGCCTCCCAAGTAGCTGGGACCACAGGCGCCCGCCACAGCGCCCGGCTATTTTTTGGTTGCAGCCGTCATTGTTGTTTGGCAGGTCTGGGCTGGGGATTCGAACCCGCCAGCTTAGGTGTACGTGGCTGGCGCCTTAGCCGGTTGAGCTATAGGCGCCGAGCCCAATGTTTTTATTTGACTCTGGTTTTGTTACATAGTTCCCATCTGCTGACACCTGGGCCTGTTGCACCGCAATCTACAGGCTGGCCGGACAACCTGGCGTCTCAGTGCCTGAGTGCCACGAGGATGTGAGCAGGTGCTGTATCAGTGCATCTGTCTGGAAGAAGGCTGCTTTTCAGATGAGGTGGAAGCACCTGGGCAGCTGAAGGGCTGCTAATTGATGTAATAGCTCTGCTCCTGGCACGCAGCACTGACAACAGAGCTGCTTTAAGACAAAGATACTGGCCCTTCAGACAGACACACGCATGTGGCTGTCTGAGTTGGCATCTACATGGATCTCATTACCATGAAGAGGGGCTCTGAGGTCATAAATCAGACTTTGTTATTTGAGCAGTCATGTCCCTTCATTTCAGGAAACTAAACAGCCTTCCTTTTCAATTCCAAGGCACTATATAGTCATCCGTTGGACAAATCTTGTCACTGTAGACCTTTCTGGGCCTCCAACAAAGGAAGCCACCAGTCAAACAGGGGACCTAGCCCTTTAGAGAGATCAACATGTCTAGAAAGCAAGTGGGCTCTGCCTTCTGGAGATTTCTTTGGAGGAAGAGGTTTATAGGGAGGTGATTTTTCATTTTGGTAGAACTAAGTAGAATTAGGAAAAAGAATGTAACCATCTGAATATGTAATTAGACTTATGAGCATATGAATAGAATTACTGTTTTTTTTAACTGATGCATTTTGCATTAAAAATCATCTTCCAGGGTAGGAGCCACACTTGTCATTTTAGCAGTAGGCCAAGGGGCGTGAGAAACGGAGTTGGGGTCCAGATATGGGAAGTCCAAGTATGTATCAACTCTGGAATGGGCACAGCTTCTGGTGTTGCGTTGGATCTTATGGAAACTCAGAAATTCTCATCTGAGAACTACATACATGAACTCAATGATCTCAATGACAGAACATTCTCTATTCAGATGTGCCATCGGCAGCTTACATTCCAGTCTCCCCTGGATGTTCTGCTGGGAATCTATAACAGTAAAAGAAGAACATCCAGAAAAAATACCAGACTTAAAAGTAATGGTGGAGAAGAAATTTTTGGTTTTATAGAATAAGAATTCTGATGCAGACTTTCAAAATAATAAAACATTTGTACAGTTTAAACAACAGCTGAAAGAACTAAAGAAGCAATGTCAGTCAATGCTCTACTTTGGTTTGGATTTTTTAAATTAGGGAACTGACTTGATAAACAATCCCAGAAAAATGATTTTATAAAGTTTGCTTGTCTGCTTGGATTGAACAACAACAACAAAAAAACCCAACAAAAAAACATCTTCCAGGTGATACATGGCCCACAATTATGAAGTTCTTCAGAGCTGCGGTTCTGGATGTAATAATAGTGATGACTGGGGAAAAAAAAAATCAAATGGTATTAGAACCGGAAATTATGTGTAACCTGAATCCTCTGGGATGCTGAAGTGGGTTAGATCCTTTGAGTTCAGGGACCAGCCTGAGCAAGAGAAAGAGACACCCACCATCTCTACTAAAAACAGAACAATCAGGGAGGCCTTGGGGCAGGCGCCTGTAGTCCTAGCTACTCACAAGGCTGAGGCAAGAGGATCCTTTGAGCCCAAGAGTTTGAG